TGGAAAATTTAAACCAAATTAAATAAGTTCCCGCTGTTTCAAAACCCTTTATTATGAAAATCACTTTCAAATATTTTCACAGCATGTGTCTAAACAAATCAGATGCCTCTGCCTAACATAGTATTCTAGTTTGAAGAGCACCTGGTGACTGGCAAATAACTTGTTGCGTGTGGAACCTTAATACTGGCATATCTTAAAATACTTTTTCCTAATATTCCATTGAGTCCATTTAACCAATTGTAAAGTATGACATTTCAGAACGCAGGCATGTATAGCAGGTGAATTTTGTCAAGATAAAACTGCAGTATTTACAGCCCATTTGATAATACCAAGAAGTATTTCTTATTTGAAAGTACCAGTCAGAAAGGGACAAGAATTCAAAGTTCTAGAGGGGATTTTTTTTTTTTTTGATAACGCAGACATACACAGACACACGAAACAAACCCAAAGAAATTCAGTCTCATCCGGTTTAACTTCAACCACGAGACATCGCTGTCTGTTTTCTTTCTCAAAAGACTCACGTCACCATGCACTGAAAAAAGGGAACTTCCACAGTTTGTGGTGAGGATACACGATAAACAGATCTGTTCACACCAAGTAGCAGGGCTGCCTGCGTCAATAAAAGGCGGTAGCAGAGTCAGTGAGCTGACATTTGGCACTTGGAGGATTATCGTTGCAAAAGTCGCTTCACGTTAAGCTAAGTAAAATGCCAGGATTTTTTTTTCCCCACAACAACATGACTGAATTAAATGGAAAAGACGACTGCAAGCTTGCAGAAGGCAAAATCCATAAGAAGAAGCAAAAGGCTTTGTAAGTATATACACCTTAATATAAATTCTAACTATAACAAGTGAAAATAACACTAGAATCTTGGAGATTAAGAATTAGCACCAAGTTTCAGGCTAAATCACTGCAAAGTCTGCTCAAAGCCCAAGACTATAGCATCATTAAAAATGGCTTGAGCTGATGCTTAAGTAATCAGGAATAGGTTTTGGATACACTGGGAGACTCTTAGTCTTTTTAAAAAAATTACTTGGACATGTAACTTCCCAGACTCCAATCATAGGATCGAGCTGTCTGCCTCTAAAAGTTTCAAGGAATTTAAGTAGACTTGAAATCCAACTGCAATTTTAATGGATTACAAAAATATCTCTTCATTGCTTTCAGTGGCGCAGATCTCAAAAATTATTTGAAGTGCATGGTACCACATATTGAATCTGGGATCAAGACTTCTAACTCCAGAAGCGTCATGTAAGTACTGAGATACACTCAGTTACAAAAAATATTAACTATAACTAGATTACTATGGAGTAAACAATTTCTAAATTTCTAAACTACTTCTAGAACAACAAATTCTAGTAATTCTAGAACAACAAGAAATTCTAGTAATGCCTAGAATTTCTAAAATACAACTGAGGTGAACATTAGGAAGTAGAAACTATTAATGAGTGAAGGATTTTTTCCTAGTGATGTGCTTGCATCAAACAGTGAGGGAGAAGATATCTCAGTTAAATCCATTTTCTTCAGAGGGATACTGTATCAATTCTCTGAAGACTTAAAAGAAACGATGCTTCACACTTAAGTGAAGACCAGGGGTATTACCATTCTTATTTAGGAATATGGAAACAGAAGTACAGATACAAAATTATTTGGTTGTAGTGATAGTAAAATTCATCTTTCTGGGAACAGAATTCAGGATAACATCATAGTTCCTTGTTTTTCCATGTCTCTGATTAGTTTTCTCAACGTGGGCTTGCCTCCAGCATCTCAAGATTATGAGAAAGCCATAAGTTTAATAAATACTTGATACATATTCCTAGAATAGAATAACAAATTATAAAATTTGTCTCCTTTGAACACACAAACAAACCCACATGGATTCTCACCTAAAGTCTTTTCTTTTTCTTGTCATCTTAGGCTTTCTGCAGAGGAAGTAATACAGTGGTCTCAGTCTTTGGAAAAGCTCTTGGCCAGCCAAAGTAAGTCTATTACTTCAATATGAGTTCTTTCTTATTCTGAGGACAAAATTTTATCCAATCTCACCAAATAGGCAAAGCTGTAGTATTCTTAAACACTGCCAGAGAATGGCCAGTTACACTTCAGTTATTTACAGCTCCAGTCTATGCTGTTACAGCTTTGCTTCCAAGTTGTTTGTTTTCTTTTTCCTTCCATTTCCTACTCTCAGTAAAACAAATAAACCCCAAATAGCTCAGTTCAGTTCCTTTTAGTAAGTCTTCTATCCTTGCATAACATATCAGTTTAATTTGGAATTTTCTCTCCACTTGTACTTGTAAGGACAATCCATTTAGGGAGGACTAGGATCCATTGATATATTTTGGTACCTAGGGGCTAGATTTAAAAACACTGAACAGAATAGGAAGATTCCCATCACCCTTAAGAGTATCTGCTGTATGTTGAAGATGGGAAAAAACAGTGTATTTTGGCAAGATTTTATAACAGAGATTTCAATACAACTCCTGCTATTTATTTTATCCTCCCTGGTCACAAATACCATGCTATAAACAATGATGTATTTGTGTTGGCTTTAGGTGGTCAGGGTGTCTTTCGAGAGTTCCTGAAGTCAGAGTTCAGCGAGGAAAACATCGAATTCTGGTTGGCTTGTGAGGATTACAAGAAAACCAAGTCTGATCACTTACATAGCAAAGCAGAGAGGATTTATGAGGAGTTTGTTCAGGCAGATGCTATTAAACAGGTACGTACAAAGTTAATCTGTGTAGTGTTAGAGTACAAGGATTCTGGAAAATCAGAAGACAGAAGTGTAGCTTCACTCAGATTCTCATACATTCATTCAGTTACATAGAATGAAGACACAGACACATTTTTATGAATGTATTTGCATTACTGTCTTCAGCTGTGAGATCGTCAGATCTCACAATTAGAGTCACACGATACAGGCCAGTACTTGGAAGCACCACTAGCAGAAGCTCAGCAGAGGCATCAGTGGCTCAGCACGTGATGCTGTTTTCTGAGTTAGCTGAGTTTGAATTACTGCTGGTGTTTGGAGTCAGATACTCAGAGAGCTAGTAGGAGAGCCATAGAATATATCTTGTCTTTTAAAATATGTGGACATTCTGGAGAAATAAAAGTTGAGTATGTTGATCATATTTTAAACTGGAAACTCTCATTCTACGCAAAATTTCTCCTATTGTTTTAATTGGAGGTTGTTCCTCTACTTACGCCATTGTTGAGCAGTATTACTTCTGACTCCATAAGAAACTACATTTCTATAGTGAGTAACAATTTGTGTGCATGACAGATATAAGCATTAAAATTCCCTTATCTTGCAGTTCTGATGTTGAACTATCACACTGAGGTTTAAGGCTGCAAATGTGTTTATTGACAAAACAAAGTGATAGATACAGAAAGAGAGTAAATCTCAAGATGTCAATGGAATTTATTTTTCACTTTCCAGATCAATATTGACTATCAGATGAGGGAAGCAACAGCCAAAAAGGCTCGAGACCCAACTCACACAAGTTTTGATGAAGCCCAGAAAACCGTGTACATCCTCATGGAGAGGGATTCATACCCCAGATTTTTGAAATCCAAAGCCTACCTGAACCTTTTGAACCAGTTGCAAACCAACACTTCAAAATGAAGTGTTTGAGGCAGCGAAGAGCCAAGTAGACTGTGTCAAATATCCTGTGGAGAGATTCTTCAGGGTGGTTGGATCTCAGCAAGGAGAACCCTCAACTTGGGAGGAAGGGTACGAGGGAAATGCAAACAGCTCCACAGCCAAGAGAATGCAGGATAAAAGCTGTCAAGACTGTTACAAGGGTGAGAGCAGCACTGGGAGAAAATCCTCTCCTCCTATACACCATGGAGTCAAGACAGGATATGGATACTATTTATTGCTTGAACTACACTGTGAACATTGAATCAAGTCTTAGATCCCAAAGAACTGCTGATTATTAGGAAACGCAAGACTAGCAAGCTGAGTTTTGGGAAAAGTTTATCAAGTTCAGAAGAAAAATAAGGATGACTGACAGTTTTGTGCATAACAAAAAAAAATGCCTAGACAAGACTGATTAATGCCTTTTTTTAATTTGTGAAGTGTTAATATGCATGAGTGCAGTCCCATGATGCTATTATGCTATGTAAATATATTATAAATTGACATATTTTATATTATATAAGAATTACATAAGCTGTACTTTTACTAAGTTTGTATTCAACAGCCAGATATGTAGCATCTTTTCTGTTTAATTTATTGCAAAATAATAAGTAACTCTTCAATCAAATCTACTTAAAGATTTGTGGTCATTTTACATCATATTTTAAGTGATCTTTCCATCATAATTACTAAAGTACTGAAACACGATTCCCTTCTGTCCCACTATGCCACTACTTCCCATCTCCTTATCCAAATAGTAATTTTACTCACACCATTTTTTCCTCTTTTTTTACTCATTTTACACAACCATAATCTTAGTTTTCTCAAGTAGGTGATCCTGACCTACATAGAGCCATCCTCACGACCCCGCCAAGAGAAGAGAAAATGAAAACAAAAAAAAAGAGAAACAGGTTTAAATTTCCTTCCTATTTTTCATACTCTCCCAGTTACTAGCACTTAAGTCAAATCTCAGATACAGAAAACAGTTAATCACTGACTCCACAGTTCAATCCACTTCGATACTGATGATGTGCTGAGCACAGCAGATAACCCACACTTGCTTACATAGAGGGGCAGTAACTGATGAGACTCCCTAGCAGTCACATTCCTTGTCATATTAGTACTACTCAACTTAATCTTGGCAAGATCCAGACTCTAATTTCCAATGCTAATACTAGCATCAAAGGTCATTTAATTTCACTGCAAACATTGTCTTAAATTTACTCTAAAATATGCAATGTTAGTAGCAGCCTGTACCACAGCAGGTTGTGAACAGAAATAAAGTAAAAGAAGAAAAGTTGCCATGAAGCTTGAACTGTGTAACTATGAACACAGGCATGACCAAATCTGAAGTGTTTAAGACCTTGTGACATTAGTGTTCATAATGAAAACAAATCAAAGCATACCCTGGTCTTAATGAGTTACCATCATGAGACACTGCTATCACACGGGTAGCAATACAAGATTTTATCTTACTCTTGCAGATTTTCCATTTTCCAAAATAACACGAGCTTACTCAGGCATACTCCATTATTCCGTACCGAATGGAGAAGCTGTAAACCCACAGACCTCACCTCATGGAGAGAGCAGACTGTGTTCATACTGCCACCATTTGGGGACCTTGGGACCTCCAAGAGGACAAAAGTTTCAGCGTTACAAGCAAAACTGCTGAAAGGAACGTAGCGAAGTGGCAGTTGTTGCCAACTTCCACCATCACCTACTGTGGTAGCTGGAAACCACTGCAAGTCACATCTTCCTACATCCAAGGCCAGTAAATGCAGAACAAAAGAATACAGCCTTGCAGTATCATTTTCCTTTCATTAAACATATGTACCTGAGGGAGCCTCTGATTGCAAAACCTGAATGCTCCTGAAATGATATAAACCAGTCTCTGGTTGGCTTTCTCTTATACGAATTAATTTTCCAGGATCAGTAAGAATAAATGTAATTCCTGTGAAACAGGACTAACAAACTATGCCTCCCACACAAGGGGCATCCTCATGTTTATTCTGACACAGTTAACATGGACCAAATGCCACTGTTCGCATAGCTTCAGCTTCACAAAAGACAAAAGAGAATTATGAAATATCAGCTACCCTCTAAACAGACGCTGCCTTCAAGTAAAAATTATTCTTTTGACTGTAAATCCCTTAAATTATTATGGGCCCAGTCTTCACTTACTTCCCCTGAACTTTCACAAGTTTGCCATGATTTAGTCAAACTCCTGTATAAAATTTCTGATTAAAATAATATTTTATAGTATGGCTAGTTAGGATTTTTATTACTTTTTAACAGCTCACTGCTGCCAGGGAAGACTGTCAGAAGCAATTTCATAGAATCATAGAATGGTTTGGGTTGGAAGAGACCTCAAAGATCATCTAGTTCCAACCCCCCTGCCCTAGGCAGGGAAACCCTCCACTACACCAGCTTGCCCAAAGCCTCATCTAACCTGGCCTTGAACACTTCCAGGGATGGGGCACCCACAACTTCTCTGGGCAACCTGCTCCAGTGCCTCAATTTCATCTACTGTTGGGGAGAATGCTGGACGGGGTAATGGGTGGATACATGTTTCCAATTCAACACAAGATTTCAGAGGTGGGTATAACAAAAAGAAGGCAGATTCTGGGGTCATGCCACGGTTTTGGGTGCTGCAGTAGCCACCGCTCACTTCAAGAGATGATCATCATCGCTGCCTGTGTCCACTGCCCTGTGGCTTTGCATTGGGCAGAGCAAATCGTTTCACTAAAGACCAAGAGCAAACACAGATGCCAAAGTGTTTACAGATGCTGTCTGGCACCCTGACCTCCTGCAAAGAGTCAAGGGGGCTGCCCTGACAGGAAGGGGTGAGAAAGTGGCACTATAACACGCTGGTTAGAGCCCTCTAAAAATAATCTAAATCTATTCACAGAAGAAATTAACACAGCTCTCAGGGAGCACACCAACCACTTGTGTTACGCAAGCTTAGTACAGACCAGAATATTTCAGGTGGGACAAAGGGACTTTTCGTGCTTTTCCACACGCATATCTCCCTAGCTCATGATTTGGCACAGTGTGAAAACAAAAAAGTGGGGTTTTTTCTCCAAAAGAAACTATTCAGCTTATTACAACCCAACCTTGGTACATTTTTAAGACTTTCACCTTATTTACAGTAGGAACCTGAAGACAACTATAAAGGTCCGTTGCCCAGATTGTTAATTCCAGAGATATTCCAGCCCACTCCAGTGTCCCTGGCAACATGACCACGATTCACCAAGCAATAAACAGCGTAGCAGAAATTCAGAACTGTCCCTGGGATGCTGTCGTAAGCCTAGTGTTATATATCTGTTGCTATAGCAAGGCTGTACAAAGCTGGTTGTTTAAACAAAGTCTAAGAGATCTGGAAGTATTTTATGGCAATTTATAGTGCCATCCATGCTAATCTACTTTATAAAAGGAAGAAGCTATAAGTAATAGTTCAATGGTACAATCGAAACAGTTTTTTACAGTATTTTAAGACACTTAACAATATTTACATGCTTTAAAACAGTCCAGTGGTAGGTATTTTTTTAATTTCTTCAAAGTCTCTTTTTTACAAAATGTAGTATGCAATGCTTACTTTGCTGTGAATTCTTTTTATTGAAATATTGCCTAAAAAGAGGTTCTTCGGATTCAGAAAAACAGCAGAACATAGAGATCAAAGGGGTTAAGGACTCAGAATTTTCTGTGACCCATGGTTCATTTACAAGGTGGATGCACCATATCAGGTTCAGTTGTGATTTCCTACTCACCTCCTCTGCCCCCAACGCATGCACACACACCCCCTCACTATTGCAGGTTGGTTTCACAGCTGTGGGTTGTGCCCTGCCCAGCATGGCAATCTCTTCCGAAACAGGACATGTTACACATTGAGTATGGAAAGTGTGCCTCCCTGGAAACTTCCCATACTCAAAGGAGAAACTTGTGAACACAAGTTCTATTTACTACCTTGTAAACAAATTAGTGAGCAATTAGGGGAAACTGTCCTTTTTCAACATATGCTAGATTGAGTTAATTGTCAGTTAACTGCTAAAACTCCAGAACAATCAGGCTCTGACTATCATCCAATATTTATTAAAATATTTAATAAGTATGTCAAACAGTTTGTTTGATTTTTTTTTTAAAAAAACACCCTACATTTAGCTTTTCCTTTTTGGAAAAAAAAACACAACAAAACCCAACACATAAGAGAATGGAAATTCGATGTTCCATTCACAGTCTCTGAGAAAAAAGATTGAAACAGATTGGCCATCAGCTACAGATCAGTATAGGGAAACAGGATGCAGTACATGGAAAAGCTTTAAGATTTGACAGTAGTGACTCAAACTTTTCTTTAAGTGTGGTACTCTCCCCCTGAAGGAAACATTTTCATTGTTTGTCAGTGTTTCGGTATTTAAAAAAAAAAAAAAATCATTGTACCATCTTCAGGTATAATTTTGAAGTGAATTAACGTCTTCCTGCTATAGAGAGGTTTTCTTTATAGGAGGACTCGAGAGTCCAGGAGACCCTGAACGTGAATGTAGAAGACTAACTTTAACCTCTCCAGTTTGGAAAACCTTCTCTAAACATATTCCTTGAAACAGATACTTTTAATATTATCCCAAATCAAACTAAAAATACAGTATAAAATAATACCATTTTTTTCCCACATATTGAAAAGGCCATCCATTAATACCTGTTAGTAGAGACATCCTATCATTATGAAATTAAAGCTGAAGTGGTGAGGAATAAGCAGTAAAAGTTCATCACCTTAGACCCTTAAGTGCCACTTGTCTCTGCCCACGCTCTGAAGTAACAGGCTTTCCGATGTCATCATCTTTATGGTTGTGAAATGAGTTTGAAAAGGAAAAATAGATGACAATAGGTGGAAAAATTAGATGTTATCTTCCATTCAGAGACATGAGTTGATTGTATCAGAGAGTGTAATGTCTGTAAGTGAAGCTTTCTGAAATTAAGTCTTTAGTCATTGAGCACAGGCAGAAATTGCAAAACAGTTTCCTGCTTAATATTCATTGGATGATTTAAATTTGTCTTGGATGCTTAGAGACAAACTCAGAGAGCAGTTAAGGTTATCCCTTGGCTTTGTTTGAATAAATACAGCCTCAGAGGTTTTAGTCACAAAAAAGGAGACTACATCAACCAAGAAATGATGTGCTTATTTTGGGGAAAAAAATACACTATTGCCCCTTCATTTCTCAAAACAGCCCCAGAAAGTACTCTCTTGACAGAC